TCCTGCTTTAAATCTTTCTTTTTCCTATTAAAAAAAATTATCTTTCTACTAAGGATAGGTCACTGGCCTCCCTTTATCTCCTTTTTTTTTAATGTAATGTTCACAATCTAAAGACACAAACACACCGTTTCCTTCTAAGTCTTAAAAACGGGGGGGGGGGGGGACACAGTTTGTTGGGGGGCATTCTCATGATGGGGGGAAATCTCAAGCAAGCAAGCAAATTCTCTGAACCTGACTTAATATTAACTTGGTTTGATTTGAGGGTATAATATTCTCAATTATAGGGGCAGCTGAATTTTAAATTCAGGGTGAGGTAAAGACATAATAGTTTTAATTTGGCAGGTAAATACATCGACATACATTGTCTTAAAACTTTTAATTAAATTCACCATACAAGTTTTAGGATCATCCTTATAGATCCTCTAATCAGCCAGGCAAATTTTAGATGTTTAGAAGGTTTTCAAGTTTCAGACTGTGACCACCTGTCAAATTTCAGCTTCGTCAGAAAATTCATCCCTCATTTCTAGAATCAGCCCAAAGGTCTGCCTGTGGTCTGGTGGACTCCAGTTATCAGAGCATGAGGACTACGAGTTCAAGGCTCCTATGTATATTTAGAATAACGATTTTGGGTCTCAAGGAAATTAACTCCCTGGCATTGACTCTGAAACAGCATGGCCACTTCATTTCATTTTCAGACCCTTCTTTTCCAAACGGGATCCATACAACGTACTGCCTCTGCTGCCCTCCCAGGTCCTTCCGCTAGCACTGCCTGTACAGGGATAAGCTTACGGAACCCCTCGCTCTCACCGGTTGTCATGGCTGTCACTGGGGGCATGCTGTCTGTCCAAAAGCTGGCTCTGTGGCGCCGTGGCTACAGGTTCTGGCAGAGGTGGTGTCGCAGACCTCCTTTTCCTCGCTTCCTCCTCTTCACGCTCGCGACGCTCATTCTCTTCCAGCTGACAGGGGGAGATATAAGCGCCGTTGTTAAGGAGTCACTTACAGAGCTTACTGCCCAAAGGGAGGATGAAACGGGGCTGAGATCTGGATCATGTATGCAGGAGAACGGGGTGAGGATGAGGTGGGAGAATGGGCTGCACCACTTCTGGATTCAGGAAGCTTTGGTTTCAAAGTGTGATCCTCCACCTGCAGTCTGAAGTGGTACAGTCTGTTCTACCACCTCAGCATTCTAACGCCTCCTCCTTCTGCGTTAGTGAGTTCAGAGAAAGAGAATGATTGGGGGCCTATAGTACAGGCAGTAAAACTATAGCTAGTAAAATTATGGATCATCAGATTATGGCTAGAGTGGATATTTTTCTCTCTCTCCCACAGTACTAGAATTCACGATGACCCAGTTTCAGTTGATTTGTTCATGACTAGCAAAGGAGAGAACTTAAAAGTATTTATTTATAGCCCACCTTTCTCACTGGGACTCAAGGTGGATTAACCTCTATAAAACAATGCAATAATTAGCGCGACAGATCTAATAAGCAAGGAAAACAAGCCTAGGATTACAAAAGTTAGAGATAGTGCAAAAAACATCAGGCATGATATGTCAAGCAATACAGAAAATGGAATTACAGAATGCATCGTCACAAGATGGTAATGATGACCATCAGCTTAGGTAACTTTTTAAAAGGATTATAACGACTTATGGATGAATTTGAGTTGATCAGTTAAGAACCTAATTCCATGAGACAGAATTTCTATCAAAGAAATAAGTCAACATTGTAACAAAAGACATAAATTGCGTGCCTTGAGAGACACACAGGCAAGGCCTAACTCAGGCACTTTCCCAGTCCCTACAGCACTTTCTCCCCAGCCCCATTCCACATCCCTCCCCTACTAACCGTGGTTAGCTTTTCCAGTGCAAGGAAGCGTTCCTCCCAGGCAGCAACCGATTTCTGGAAGCCCTCATGGCGCTTGATGAGGTTCTCCACCTCATCCACGTTGCTGCCCAGCTCGGCAGAGCGTACAATTGGCTCCTGACTGGCGAGCCAAGCCTCGGCCATGCTAGCGTCCCGTCCAAACATCAGCACCTCCATGACTGCACAATGGATATAGGTGTGTTTGAGAGAAAGAGAAGGCAGTGAGGAAGGCCACGTTTCTAGTTTACTGCATTTCAAACATTTATAGTTTGCCTTTCCGCTATCTGGGTTTTCAAGGCAACATGCAAAGGTACTTGCAACCCAACAGTTAGTGGGCTTCCGTGTGTAGTGCAGTTTCCCACCCCAAGACAACCCAGTGGTTCTCCCTTGCACAATGCCTGACTGTCCATGCTGGAAGACCATGACAGAGGGACAAACCCCAAATCCCAAGACTGTTTCAGGTCAGGAAAAAAACAGGTTGCTTACCAGTAACTGGTGATCTTCGAGTGGTCATCTGTGCATTCACACCAATGGGTTTAGTGCGCCTGCGCTGACCCAACCGGTGCCGTAGCAAGCTATGTTTCAAAGGATTTTCGCGCGAGTCCCACTGAGCATGCGCAGGAACCCCAGCACGCATGCCCAGAGGGGACGGGCGCGGAGATCCCGCCAGTTCCTTCAAAGCACCGCCGCCAATCAACACCTATTAAAAAATCAGGAGCTGACAGCAGAGGGGAAGGAGGGCGGGCGGTGTGAATGCACAGATGACCACTCGAAGATCACCAGTTACTGGTAAGCAACCTGTTTATCTTCTTCGTGGTCTCTGTGCTTCACACCAATGGGAGACTAGTGAGCCATATCCTACCTGGAGGAGGGTGCTGGCAGGATGTTCATCGCTGGGCTGAAGACAAAACGTGACGGCCGATGCTGTCATTGGTGCGTCGGACGTCGAGGGCGTAGTGCCTGATAAATGTATTGGGCGTAGCCCACGTGGCAGCTTTGCAGATGTCATGTATTGGCACACCTTTCAGAAAAGCTGTAGATGTCGCGAGAGCCCTAGTGGAGGGAGCTCTGATGGGACCAGGCAACGGCTGTTTTGCCAGGAGGTAGCAAAGACGAACCAAGTCCACTATCCACTTGGATAGACGCTGGGCTGTTATACGAGACCCCAGGCGAGGTGACGCATATGAAAGGAATAGATGGGGATCTTTCCTAGTTGGATGTGTCCTTTTCAGGTAGAACAAGAGAGCCCTCTTGACATCCAGTGTATGCAGTAATCTATCCTCAGCAGATACTGGATTTGGAAAGAAAGTCGGCAAGAAGACTTCAGCTTGCAGATGGAATTCGGAAATTACTTTAGGCAGGAACGAAATGTCCGGTACCAATCTGATTCCGTCAGGAAGTACGGAAAGGTAAGGAACGTCGTGCCAGAACGCTAAGAGCTCTCCAACTCTCCTGGCCGACGTGATTGCTACCAAAAAC